AATGGAATGACATGTATGCACACTAGAGACTGCGGCCCAAATGAGCATCCATGAAAGCAAGACGGACGAAACGAAAAGAAGACGAGTCAGAAGATATAGCAGAACCGCACAACTGACACATGCACAACAAGGCAAAAAACATGAGAACGCCTAACAATAAGCAAACCAAGGGCAACTGGCTGTGCGACAAAAAAAAAATTCATTTTCAGAAAAGCGAAAACAGAATATGATCATGAGTAGCTTTGTCGATAAATAAATGCAAGAAATAGTCCACGTAAAGAGTCAACAAAAAATGCATAACCACCAACGACGAAGTAAAACACGGCTGCAACAAAGGTCACAGGTGCCTTCATGTTTTTGTGAGGTTGAAATTTTGAGCATAACTAGGCGCATACCGGATGACAAAGACTAATGACAAATAATAATTACTCCCCATGTTGTAATGTCAGATTGTCATACCATTGCAATGATCATTCCAGCGGATCATGTTGTAATATACACAGCGAAAGATAAGGTTTGCAATTTTGAAGATATTATTACACCTTTACATTTACATGGACAACAACGGGGCAATCAATGTCTGACATCATCAGCGAAGCAAGTTTTATCACCTTATTCTAGTTCTCATGATATATCTTCCCTCTTATGACGATGACGTGGCCAAGCTTGAAAGAAACGAAGTTAACTTTTTTTGTCATGAGAAGACAAGCATTGTCTATGCACTGCGCTCACCGCACGGTATGAGTATGACATCAAAAATGTATATTGACTTTGACAAGAGGGACGAATATCCAAGCGGAAGGAAAATAAGGGAGTGCGAGATGAAGACAGAGGACAAAGAAGGACCCCGCATGCATTAATGTAACACCAATATGTCATGCCAAGAACAAACGAAGACATGACATTCCAGGTCAGCAGCTGAAAGACGAACAACCTATAAAAGGTAGCAAGTCGAAACTTCGTTGTGTATCCCAACAAAAACACGGCCCGTTCGTCCCCGTTCATTGTCAAAGTGACAGCTAAAACTATCTTCTCCTTCCAGCGCAAGACATGTCAAACGATTGAACCATGGACGTAGACCATGACAAAAGCGATCGCTAATGCAAAGCACATGCTCAGGCAAGGCGCCTAAGAAATCGAGCACATCATGTGTTACCTCGAGAACCATCTGCGTTGAATGAACATAAAAAAAAGAATCCGACAACTCAAAGAGTCAAAGAAAATGGTGGAAAATATGCGTATCCTATGTTCATGACATATGGGAGCTCGTAACATGGCACGAGCCGTGGCAACAACATAGAAACATGACGTGGCTGTTGCATGAGCCGTTTCATGAAAAAGATTGAAACTCCGCCGATATTTGTTGAAAGTTTGGCGGTTACAAGGACATACCGGGTTTTCGATGGAGCGTAACACGTCTTGTACAATGACCCCATAATACGGATGCGTAAGAAATTGTTCCGAGACATACGAATCCACAACATATAATGCAGTCCCGATGATATGAATGGAAAGGAAAGACATGGATATCAGAAGATCGATAAGAGACTGAACACGCGTCGTCTCCACTTCTCTGGCCCCTTCCGCTGGCCTCTCTTCGCCAAAATTATGTCTGTGTGTAAGAGGGAAAATGCAAACTGTAAATGGCAAGATTGTCTGCGTTGCAGAATCCGAAACAAAAAATCTACCAAGGAGCAAAGGCGTTGTAACAGGAAACGGCGCTGCCCGTGGGGCCACACGTTGTATAAGGAGCCGGTTTGCTTGTATCCTTTGCCGAGCAAAAGACGAACTGTGTATGGTGGCATGAGCAGTGCGTGAAGACCATCTCGACGACAAGGACATAGACATCGACGAAGTAGCAGAGTTCAGCACGAATAACATGTGCACAACCGTCGGTTCTTCTGATGCCGATGCACGAAGAGATCCTGAAAGAGAAGCCTTTGCACAAAACAAAATCAAAATAGTGTTATCCCACGAACCGTGCACCCAACATAAGAACCCTGCGCCCATCAGAAAGAAAAATACAGAATGCAAAAACAGATAAGGAATAAGCAAGGGCGATTCCCATAAGCAAAGACGTTTGTGGAAGCAGCTTATGAAGAACCATAAAAGCATATGCTATTTTGTCTTTATCCAGTTTATGCCCTATCCTAATACACTCAAAAGCAACAGCAGATGTTAATGTGTCGTATGTGCTATAATGGTTTCAATATATAAAGGAGATAATATAGAACCACCACGGCAGAAAAATTATGAGCGCTGAAGATATGGACCTGACATTCTCTGCCTTGCATTTTTGCGTTGATAGGGTCGAACCGTCCTGCCTTTAAAAAAGTAGTGCATGAGCTCAAGACCTTCACCATAACAAATGAAGGGCCCCAAGAGTAAGGATCGAACGCCTTGTAGCCATCGATACTGTCATGCTTGTGCTGTTATTCACATGACGATAGTGGTTAATCGGTGTCTGTCGAGTCATCACAATGATCTTCAAGTGCAACGCAATGGCCATCATCCATAATTGGCTCCCGTCATGGTGGGGCGAGATAGGCGGGTGTTTTGAGAGGTACTTGTAGAGGAGAGAAAAATTGTCACGCCCGATGATTTAGGGGGAACAAGCGGTGAAAAAGGGAACCCTTTAAGCAAAGAAGGGAATGGGAAGGGAAAGGTTGGACTTTCCCAGGGCGGTTCAAATTGATGCTTTCGTTCTCCAGTCTCCTTCGGAGAAAATAGAAAAGGTGGCGGTTGGCCCGACGGACATCAAACCTGGCCTACATATGGATAGACTGAGAACAGTGAAAGTAGTATTGTGTCCCGACGTTGCCTACCAGGCAGGCCGCCCGGGTGAGCTTGTTTGACCGGGTGGCCTGGCCATGCAAAGGCGAA